CAATATCCAGATTTCAAATCAAACTTTGAAAATATATTGACATCATATAATCTTGATAACAAATCCTTTTTATTGGGGATAGGGTACCTAATCCGTTTTAAATATCTATTTAAAGGTTTATAATTTATAACCAATCTAGGAATGCCACGTTCTTTTTCTGCAGCATTGTTTACATAAAAAGCAGTGCAAGACCAAGAAGACTTTGAAGGTTTTATCAAACCCTTTTGTAACAAATTGTCAATTTCTTTTTTGCAGAATTCGACCAGTTCAGCGTTCATCTGACAAGGTCGTGATTTAGTAGGAATATTATCCTCAAAGAAATTATCTTCGTAAGGGAAAGTAACTATATGTCTTTTGCGGTTCCAAAAGTCACTAGGATGCTCGATACAAATATCAACAGCAATTTGTTCAGCAATCAACTTAATTTTTTCCTGTACTTTAGCAGATTTTAAAGTATCGAATATATTCATACTCAATATTTCTAATTGCAAAGAATCAATATGCCTCTGCTTCATATTAATCAGAGTATTAATATCTCTTGTTACGGGGTTTGTAACAAAAGAATAGCTGATTTCTTTATCCTGATAAGTAGCAGTAAATCCTTTCGAATCTATACTAGTAAAAGGATAAATAGCATTAATAAAAGGTGTTCCAAGAATAATTGGAGGGTATAGCTGATTTTTTACCAAATAGAAAAAGTGAGTAATACAGACTTTGTTTTGGCAAATACGTGTATTTGGTAATTTATACTTTATATCTAAAGCATGACCAGAAGCAGATTTAACCAAATGAGTGGTTTTTTGAAAATATTTAGTAGGTACTAGCCCTTCTTGAATGCAGCTTACATCAGTTCCACTATCAATCATAGCAACATCAGTTATAGAAAAACTATTATCAATTGAAATAGTATTTAGTATACCATTTATGAGCAGTAACAATTTGCATCATTCCTAAAAACATATCAGGTTTTTCACTATCATTGATTTTAGAAATTCCTTTTCCTTTGTCATTCGAAAAATTATTGTCATTCGAAAAATTATTGTCATTTGGAAAATCAACTAGGGAATTATTTTTCTCTATCTGAGTAATCATGTGATCACAAATCATTTGATTCTGTTTAAGAGACTTAATATCTCTTTTCAAATTTTCAATTTCGACTTTTAAATCGTCAAAAGAAGCATCTCTGGTTGGCGTATTGTTCTTATGAAGATGCTTATTAATCTCAGACAAAGAATAAGGCGCAGAATATTCAAATTCGTTCTTTTGTTTTTCAAAAGATTTTGAGCTACTAGAACTAGAACCTGCAGCTAAATTAATAATTTTTTTACGAAGTTTGTCATCGGTAACTTCCTTTAGAAGTTCTATTACATTTTCGAATGTAATAGTTTTCATGTTCAAATCTTGAAATTGAGATTGTAATTTATAAAATTCATCATCATCACAAGTATAAATATCACCTTTGCAAGCTGTACAAGTATTATTAATATTTTTATCACTATCACATAAATCAAGTAAATCAACTTCAGCTTCAGAATCAGTCTCAGAATTATAATCAGATTCTGATCCAAAAGTGTATAACAAACTATAAACCTTATCACGTAACTCGTCTTCTAGTTCTAAGGTTTTCAGCTTTTGAAGCTTACAATTTGGAGCTATATGGCTAAATTTTCCGCATTTGTAGCACTTAATGTCAGCAAGATCTCGCTTAGACCTAATCTTCGTAAATCTAGTAGACCTACGATGAGTTTTCCTAGAATTATGCTCTTCTTTGGATCTATATCTAGATCTCTTTTTCTTATAAGGGCTATCAGGGTTAGGATACTATTTTTCTTTTTCTTACTATGAGTAGAAGTTTCGGGTAAATCAAACTGGGTACAAAAATCTCCTAATTGAGATTTCTCTTTAAGCTTATCCATCTTAAGCTGTCTGGATAATTTTAACTCATTACACAAATTTAATCCTTCTTGTATGCAAACTCCTATTAGTTTGTCATAGGTATAATTCTTATACGGAATTTCACCGTAACTACCCCTTAAAGCTTTTCTTACTCTCTCAGCAAATAAGGAGGGAATATCATCTATAAACTTAGCTTTCCAATGTTCATACTTATTTTCGAGTAATTCCATAGCCCTACTCATAAAGGTATCTTTATACCATCTAAATTCACTAAGGCTACTACATCTAAGACCATTTAGAAGAGTACGAACAGTCTCATGCTGATTGGTAAATCTACCATTGAAGTGTTCCAAAATGGTAAGGACAAGGGTATAAACAGCATCTTCTCTATTTTTTACTAGAGTCATGCCTAAGTTATCAACTCCCTCGTCAGTGGCTATTGCATTAATAACCAAAGCTTTTTCCTAAGTGGATAAATAGTTATCCCACCATTCACGAAGTTGGCCAGTAAATCCTGCAATAATCATTTTGCAAATAGTTCTATCTGTATTCTTTACACTTTTACAGATAGTTGCATACATAGGTATTCTATGCACAAGAATAGTTAATTGCCTATCAGTTAAACCATCAAGATTCCATTCATATATTTTGAAACCGCTGTAAGACGTATTAGTCTGATTCCAATCATGTTCCTCTATCAAAACATCTTGAGGAGTAGGACGTGGATAATAGTAAGTTTGCATTCTGGGTTTGTCAGCATACTTACTATTTGGTTTAATTAAACCCTTGACTTTATTAAACTCTGACCAAGACAAATAACTTTTAAAATTTATATTATTAAATTATTCACAATTTTATTTCCAGCACTATTTTATATTAATAATAATACATAAAAATATAATTCTCACAATAAATAATTTATGCTACATGCTTTGTATGACCTTGTAAGTATCTATTTTATTGTTAGGCTCTACATCTATGCATAATTATACGTACTACATCTTTCCTGCGATTAACTTATGCACAATATTATGAACTATTGGTGCGGTGAACGTGGATTAGGTATTTGATGTTAATAGTAAATTTTTTTTATAGATAGCAAACAAAAACAACATAATATGATGTTTTAAATATTTATAAAGTTGTATTTATCGGATGTTATTGTGAAAAAATTGTCTCCAGTGATGTTAAGTAATATAAGTTATTATCACTTCATTTCAAATACCTAGTTTTATGTATGTGTATTTTATGTAAAAATTAATTCTTATTATTTATTATATAAAAAAATATAATATATTAATATACTATTAATTATATTATTTTAATGAATAGATATAAAATACTTTATTGCTATTCACATAAATTTTATTTAATATGAAACTTTATTAAAATCTTTCATTAA